ACATATACATATACACATACACATATACATATATATATATATACATATACATACATATATATACATATACATATACATATATACATATACATATATATACATATACACATATATATATATATATATACATACATACTTGTGTCTGTTTGTCTTCAGCAGGTCGAGGACGGAGGCTACGAGGCATCGGTTTCTCAGGAAAAGCAGGACTCTGGTCGTCCAATCAACCCAAAGGTCAGAGGAAAACAAACATTTCATTGGCTGATATTGATGAGTCTTATGTCCAACTGAAGCAGTCCATCAACCTGAAAGCAGCTGCTGTAAACTGGTTTGGTGTCCCCAGTTTGATGTGTGTTCAGGTGATCAGCTTGTCAGACTGTGATCAATACTGTGGTGAACAGTGAATTTAGATGAACGAGTCTGATCTGAAATATTCTGGACTGTAAGAATGAATGGAAACCAGAATGTTCCAGGTCTTACTTTGAGACGATTCAATAAGGAGTTGTAGTAACACTGTAGTAATAGCACTGTACTGTAGTAGCACTGTAGTAGCAGCACTGTACTATAGTAACAGTACTGTAGTAATAGCACTGCACTGTAGTAACAGCACTGTAGTAACAGCACTGTACTGTAGTAACAGCACTGTACTATAGTAATAGCACAGTCATGTAGTAGCAGGCGTAGTGTTCATTCTGGCAGAATTAGTACAAGCAGTCTCAATGGGCCCCCAGGGGCCTCCGGGGTCCTCAACGGGCCTCCAGACCCAGATTACACAGTGTTCACTGTGTGTAGTTCATGGAAAGTGTTTGTACATAAGTGTGTTTGTAATCAAATTAAACTCAGTGTTTCTCATTAAAACTCTGAGTGAATCGTTGAACTCCAACATGTTGAATTAATTCCTTCATAATAAAACATTTGAAAAGATTTTTCTTCAAGGTTTTAGATTGAAGCCTGTCTGTCTCTCTGTCTGCCTTTCTGTCAGGATGGACACAGTCCTCTGGACGGGGTGTTGGAGTGGCAGAATGAAACAAAGACCCTCCTCACCGAGCAGACCGACAGGAAGTGATGTCACTAACATTGTTGCAGATCGACCAATCACTGCTTTGGACTTCAAGGCTTCTGATTTGTTCGTCAGTAAAGTAAACGAAGAACAAACTGAAACGTCGACACAAACAAACAGAAAAACAGCAGCTTCTTTTTCTTTGTTAACGTGAACATTTTAACTATTTTTTTCCAAAGAAAAGATGCCCTGATCTCCTTTCTGCATTGTTGCATTCAAACACTTAAAGACAAATAAACTTTTTGGTCTTCACATGATGAATCTGGTTTATTTCATGGACGCTGTCCCTTCAGACGGGGGCTGCTCAGTGGTGGACTGGTGAGGGTGAATGGTCGTCTATGATAGTCTGGAGACCAGTCCAGGTGAACCCAATGTGGGATCTGTTCCCAGCCCCCTGTGACCCTGAACAGGATAAGTGGTGACAGATATATACGAGACAATGATGGACAGTCCATATGTCTGGAATATGCAGGTTCACTGGGACCCCACCTGGGGAAACACATGAAGAGAAGTCGGGAAGGAGGGTGGTACTACGCATGGAACTGATGAAGATGAAGCTTCTCATGTTGGGAACGGTAAGAAAACAAGAGTTTGTGTGAAATAATAAAAACCAAAAAGATCTGGTTTCATGCTGACTTGCAGATTTGATCATAGTCACGTATTCTGGATGTATCGGGGTAGAAATAACAGAAGGGTTATTAGTAAATAAATTTTATTATGTAAATTTCAAGTTTCTTCCACAACATGCAAGTGCTTTTATTTTATTTTTCATAGTTTAGTGTTTTAATAAAATCAACACAAGTCCAGTTTAAAACGTAAACCATGTTTCTCACACAATTCGTTAGAACAGCCAGCAGCAGGATGAAGCTGTCCTGTGATTGGTCAAAATGTTTAAACTGGTCTGCCCTTGTGAGGTTCAGGTCCGTGGATCAGTTGGGTGAGGCAAAGAACCTCCACCCTGGTTCTGCTCGACCTCTGGAGAGAGAGAGCGAGAGAGAGAAACAAGAGAGAATCTAAAAACCTGACCTGGGCTCATTAATATTATGAACCATTTCATGTGTTTTAAGCCACAACCTGTTTAGTTGTGTGATGAGATTGAAGCTAGAGATGTAAATAAATCTAACAAAGCTGTTGGTAGTGGACTGAAAGTTGGACCAGGTCCATTGTGGACTTACGTGCTGGTGGGAGCGTTGCCCAGGTTCCTAATCCAGACTCCCAGAGTTTCTCTGCTGGGAGTTCTGTAGTAGCTGTTTAACTCTGGAGAAGTCAACGGCTCAAACAACCGACCGAAATCTAAACAAAAAAATAAAATGAAAACATTGGAAAATGTGCGTGGCTCTGAGGCAGAAGGCGCACAGTGAAATGACTACGCAGAACTCTAAATCAAAGGAAATCATTAGGGAGCGTGGTGGGTGGCTAATGTATGCGTACATGCAGAACGGGATGCGTCAGAGCCGATCCGTGCATCTCTAATGTACGTGACTTCATAATTATAACTTTGTATTTTTCTTACTGTTAATGTAGTGAAAGCTAAAGTAACTCTAAAAGTGGAATGAGGAAACTTGTGAAATATGCTGTGAACAAATTGTAGCTCATTAGATCAATGATAAGACTATCTAGAGCAGTTTCATGCTGTACACAAATACACCCACCATGCGCATCATCCAGGCTCTGGGTTTTAGTGGCGGAGGGCGAGATCTCATCTGTCTGGACGGTGAGGACACGTCTCCAGTAGGCTTCAGGGACAGACAACAGGTGGCAAATAACCTGAGAAAAGAGCAACAGGCGTAATGAACCACTGAGACCAAAGATGGACAAGATTATTACACTTAAACAATGATCATGGTTGAGGTGAAAGCAGTTGCAAATCAGTTGTGTGACTTTTTATGACAGCACTGAGCTGGTTCAAGTCCTATTTATCAGATCGATCCCAGTTTGTATTCAATGAAACCTACAATGTTAGTGACAAAGTTCCACAAAGTTCTGTCTTAGGACCAATTTTATTCACCTTATCTATGCTTCCTTTAGGCAATACTATCAGAAAACACTTTTATTGTTATGCAGATGATACTCAATTCTATCTATCGATCAAACCAACCAGCTCACTAAACTTCAAGCATGTCTTAAGGACATAAAAACCTGGATGACCTGTAACTTCCTGATGTTAAACTCAGACAAAACTGAAGTTATTCTTCTAGAAATCAACTATCTACCGATAGTTTCTCTAGATGGCATTGCTCTGCATCCAGCAACACCGTAAAGAATCTCAGTAATCCTTGATCAGGATTTGTCTTTTAACTCCCAGATAAAACCTTTTTTCACCTACGTAACATTTAATAAATCAGGCATATCTTGTCTCAAAGCAATGCAGAAACACGAGTTCATACATTTGTTACCTCTAGACTAGATTACTGTGATTCCTTATTAACAGGCTGCTCTAATAAGTCTCTTAAATCTCTCCAGTTGATTCAGAATGCTGCAGCTCGTGTACTAACAAGAACTAAGAGAAGAGATCATATTACTCCTGTATTAGCTTCTCTGCACTGGCTCCCTGTAACATCTAGAATAGAGTTTAAATCCCTTTTACTTACCTACAAAGCCCTGATTGGTCAGACACCATCATATCTTAAGAAGTTTACAGAACCATATTATCCCACTAGAGAACTCCCTAAATTTAGGGTTACTTGTGGTTCCTAGAGTCTCAAAAAGTAGAACAGGAACCAGAACCTTCAGCTATCAAGCTCCTCTTTTGTGGAACCAGCTGCCAGTTTCAGTCCAGGGGGCAGAAACACTCACCACATGTAAGAGTAGGCTTAAGACTTCACTCTTTCATAACGCTTATGTTTTGTAGTTATAGTTTATATTATTTATAGTTAGGGCCAGCTCGGGTTTATAGTTAGGGCCGGCTCAGGCTTGCCTTAGACCAGCCCCTAGATAAGCTGGTATAGGCCTAGACTGCTGGGGGACTTCCTAGGATACACTGAGCTCCTCTCTCCTCTTGTATGAATTCACGTCCCATTAATGCACATCACTAACTTTGATTAATATTTAACAATCAGATAATTGACTATGTTGTAATTGTAGTATGTTGTTCATTCGATTGGGAGAGGGTTCCCTCCTCTGTTGCTCTCCCAGAGGCTTCTTATATTTCTTTGTTTGAGGGGAGTTTTTCCTGTACCGATGTGAGGGTCCAAGGACAGAGGATGTCATGCTGTGTTCAGATTGTAAAGTCCTCTGAGGCCAATTAGTAATTTGTGATTTTGAGCAGTACAAATAAAATTGAAAAAGTATTAATTTAAGATAAAAAGAAACATGTTAGCTGTTTGTTCAGGTGAACAATTCTGTCCAATTGTTGGACAGATGTTTATCTGATGTAGAAACAGCCTCAATGGTAAAATTCAGTTCTTCTAACATCCACATACTATGAATACGACTATTAGAAAGAAGCAAACCTTTGGCTGAGTGTTTAAGTCTCTCAAGATCTTGGCTGGAGTCGGCTCAGACATCCCATACCCCACTATCGTTGGTCCAAACACCCGGGCCAAATTACTCTTGTTCATCTGACACGGAGGACTCATCATCACCCTATAGAATCATGAAGTGACAGACGACACGATAACATTAGCCACTTTTCAACTTACAGGTGCATCTCAATGAATTAGAATATCATCTAAAAGTTAATTTATTTCAGTAATTCAATTCAAAAAGTGAAACTCATATGATATAGATTCATTACACACAAGGTGATATATTTCAAGCGTTTATTTCTTTTAATTTTGATGATTATGGCTTACAGCTAATGAAAACCCAAAATTCACTATCTCAGAAAATTGATAATCTGATATATAATATATATATGAACTGATATCCTTTTTGAGTTTCAGCATACAGGTCTGCACAGAGCGAGTTCTCAGGGTCACACAGAGGTCGTCACTAAATTGCTAGAGGACGGTGCAAACATCCACAGCAGAGACAAGGTATTGATTGAGTCCAGTAGAGACAGTTTGAATCCAGTGATGAAAAAGAGAGAGTCTATGGGGTATTGTCAAGAGGAAGATGACACCAGACCCAACAATGCAGACGAGCTGAAGGCCCCCATCAAAGCAACCTGGGCTTCCATAACACCTCAGCAGTGCCACGGGCTCATCGCCTCCATGCCACGCTGCCTTGATGCAGTAATTCATGCAAAAGGAGCCCCGACCAAGTATTGAGTACATACTGTACCTACTTGTCAGTAGGCCACCATTTCTGTATTAAAAATTCTTTTATTTTTATTTATTTATTTATTATTATTTTATTTTTTTTAATTTATTTTATTTATTTATTTATTTTTATTTTTATTTTTTTAAAACAGTCTTATGTAATATTCTAATTTTCTGAGATACTGAATTTGGGGTTTTCATTACCTGTAAGCCATAATCATCAAAATTCAAAGAAATAAACACTTAAAATATATCACCCTGTGTGTAATGAATCTATATAATATATGAGTTTCACTTTCTGAATTACTGAAACAAATGAACTTTTCGATGATATTCTAATTCATTGAGATGCACCTGTATGTGCTGCTGAAATTACATAAATCAAGAATGTGTAACTTAAGACAAAATCTGTTTTCAGAAAAGAGCTGAAAGCTCTTACTTCTGCAAGTGAAGCATGAGAAATGCCAGAGTGTCTCTGTTGACCTTTGGCAGCTCTGCAATGGCCTGATACATGATGGCAGTGCAGTTGTCTTCATCTGTCAGCTCTAAAACAGACACACAGTGATGGTTAGATGATCCCAGACGAGTTCAGACAAGGTCTAATGAAGAGTTCTGATGAGACGTGTTCTAACAGATTTACTCCATCTACACTGACGATTTATCTATATCGAGATTAAGGATGTGCGGTTGTCATGGCGTTGATCAATGATGATAAATTCTGATGACCGTGAGCAGCTTCAGCCTTCATACCTGAAGCCTCCATGAAGGTCTTGTGCAGTCTGAAGGGGATAAGAGGCTCCTCCAGTTTCCTCAGAAAGTCTTTTAGCAGACCACACAGCACGTGGACGTCATGAACCTTACTGAGCATGAGCGGAGTTCTCCCCTGGAGGAATCGATCCCTGAGCTCCTTCACCAGACGCTCCCCTCCAGGAATTCGGTAGAGTCCTATCTGCAGACGGCAGGACATCAACAGCTAAAACATGAACCAGACTGAACAAAGCATGTTTGAAAAGAGACTGAGGATGAGTTCACCTCCTCCAGGCCCCTCCTCTCTATCTCAGTCACACACTCCACGACCAGAAGAGGCACTCTGGGGCTGATCACTGGAGCAAAATCCTCCAACGATTTCTGAAGACACAAAACATTATTAAAGAAGCCACAATGACATCATGCATTTCTGAGAACGTGCAGCTGCATTTCATTATGGGGTCAGATCAGTCTCAATAATAGCAAATGCACACAGAAAGACTCACAAATGCAAACAGAAAGATTCACAAATGCGCACACAACAATTCACAAATATATTTGATTTACAAATGCACACAGAAGGATTTACAAATAAATTTCACTCACAAATGCACGCAGAACGATTCACAAATACATTCCAATGCACACATAAATAAATTATGATTTATATAAATGTAAAAAAAAAAAAATCACAAATATATTTCTGCATTTGTATGTATTTCTGTGTGGATTTTTTATATTTGTTGGTGGATTTGTATGCATTTATTTGTGGATCACACTGCATTTCTTTGCGGATCGCTACACATTTCTTTGTGGATTTTTGAGACTCCCCTGACGTCGCTGGATTCGCAAATGCGTTTTTTTCAACATTCTAATTGTCAACCAATCACATGAGCGCAGCTCCCCCCTCCCCTCGAGTCTGATAGCGTTAGAGTTGCGCAATTTGCGGAGGTGACAGGTCACTTCCTGTTGCAAGCCGTCACTGTTTTGGTGCGGATTCCGCGGTAGTTTAGTCTTTATTTGTCGTTATTTGACATTATGTGACAATACATTAAGGTCCTTGAAGGTATGACTGTTGGTAGTAAAAAAAGGCCGAATTGTAATAGTATGGCTACTCGTTTTCATTAGCAAGCTAATGTGGGCTAACATTAGTTGGTACTTGTTGCCATGGCAACGATACACACTTTCATGCAGACTGAAGGAATACAAATTGTAAATATGGATAATATGCATTGTACTGTTTAGAATGAACAGTACAATTTTTTTAGAAAAAAAGTTGTATACAAATTGTATAAATATATACATACATATGAATATTTTTATATAGATACATACACATACGTATATATGTATATATATCCAAGTCAATAGGTTATATGGGTTGCTATCATTCTAAACAGTACAATGCATATTCTTCAATGACAATGCAGTTAAAATGTATAAAATAAACATGTAAATAATCATAAAGAGGACATAGCAATGTTTTTCTTTTCCATTATCGTATCCATTCATAAGTGTAGGTCGCCAGTAGAGATGCTGAACTTAGTCCAATAAAAGGCGACTCCACATGTTGGGCTCTACGGTGTCCAAGGCAACACTTAGTCCAGCAGCACGAGGACTGATCAGAGTCCAGAGTCTGCAGCCAGTAAAGAAGAGACCTTTCTGTACTATGGCGCTTTCAAAACCCCTTTGGAATGTTTCAAAGATCCTTTTGTTCCTTGGTGCCCTAAAAGTTGTGTCAAAACTACCCCCTCTAATAATTTTTTGTAGAAATTGGCCCATAGTTTTGTATGTGAGCCGGATCCAGTGTGGGTCCTCTCAGAAGCTCACACATCCAGAAGGGATGGAATTGTTTATAACTGAGCAGATGGTCACATGTGTCAGTGTGGAGAAGGTCCTGAAGAGATATGGGAATAAAACTATTCAATAATTATAGTTCAGGGCCAGAGGAGTCCTCAGATGTTTCAGGAGTTCCGTTTGCTCTAATGCTGCTGGTTCATCGAGGAGGTACGCAACCTTTCAGTCTGCTGGAGAGAAGGTGTAGCGGCTGTTTGTGAGAGATTGACGAAATGGTTGATGGTATTAAATAATGTGTGAGGTTTGAGCTGAAGAGCAGATACCAACTGAAAAGAATTGACAGCCTTCTTCACTTTATTAGAATGTTGTATTAAATCTTTGAAGGAGTTCTAGTGCACCTGTGATTCACTTTCTCTCTGCAGTCTTTAAGAGTCTGCTGTCCTGGTTTATCCAGGGCTGCTCTTATTGTCCAGTGTGTATCGGCAGATTTCATGAAAATAATTGGTGAGTTCCTTTGTATCGGAACAATATGCAAGATTGTCAAAAGCCTCATTAAAAAAGGGAAGGAATGACCTCGCTGTGTGCTCCTCAATGAGGAGCTCAGTGAAGTCTTCACTCCTCACCTCCTCCTGGAAAGTTCCTTATCTTCAGTTTTCACCATGAAGTCAAAACATGATCATCACTGCCTCGTCTCAGGTTCTAGAGCACCTGGTCTGAAACATGATCATCACTGCCCCGTCTCTGGTTCTAGAGCATCTGGTCTGAAACATGATCATCACTGCCCCGTCTC